CTGAGGGCCCTTGGAGCTCCGTCAACCAAAAAGGAAACACTGCAGCAGCAGGAGCAGCACTTGCAGCAGCAGCAGCCGAGGGAGAGCAGCAGCAGACGTTTGCTGCGTGCCTCGCTGCCAAAGACGGGGCTTCCGAAACAGAGGGGGGGCCCCAAGTGGGTGGGGGCCCCCAAGTTGGTGGGGGCCCCCCAAGAGGCCCCCAAGTGGGTCTCCAAGTGATTGGGGGACCCCCAAATTGTGGGGCCCCTCCGAGGGCCCTTGGGGGCCCCCCAAATCATGGGGGCCCCCGCAGTGCTGCGCAGCCCCGTGAAGCTGCTGGGGCCCCTGTGGTACTAAAGGGGCCCTCTGGGGGGCCCCCCTGTTTACTGGGGGGCCCCCTCTTGTGGGGAGGGGCCCCCCTAAACTGCTGCTTGGAGGGTACACTTGATGGCAACGGGGGGCCCCCCCTGGGAGCCCCTAGGGTACAGGAGACACTTAAAAGGGGGGCCGCCTTCCGGGGGGAGGAAGAAAGCTGCTGCTGCTGCTGCAGCTGCTGCACGCCTTCGAATGAGCAGCGGCAGCAGCAGCTGCTGCTCATGAAGCAGCAGCAGCAACAGCAGCTGCAGTTCGTAGAGCAGCAGCAGCAGCAACAGAAGCTGCCGCTTTTAGAGCAGCAGCAACAGCAGCTGCTAATTACAAAGCAGCAACAGCAGCAACAGCAGCTGCTACTTGCACAGCAGCAACAGCAACAGCAATCGCAGCAGCAGCTGCAGGAGCAACACCAGCTGCAGGAGCAGCAGCAGCAGCTGCAGCAGCAGCGACGCTCCCGTGTAATTGTCTTTGACCCTAGGCTCCCAACAGCAGCAGCTGACGCATGCAGCAGCACGGGCTGTACGTACACCCCAAGGAGGCCCCCTGTGGGCCCCCTTGGGCCCTGCTGCAGCGGTTCCAAAGTAAATACCCCGACAGCAGCAGTAGCAGCAGCAGCAGCAGCAGCAAGCCCTAGGCAAGACCTTCCGTGGTGTCCCCCAGGAGTGCCGACATGGGACCCCCTGGGGGCCCCCATGAGGGTCCCTTCAAAGAGCCCCTTGGGGGACTTCCTGGGGGCCCCTATGGGGGGCCCCTTAGGGTTCCCCCTAGGGGCCCCCCTGGGGGGCCCCCCTGGGGTCCCGCTGGGGGGCCCCCCTGGGGTCCCGCTGGGGGGCCCTCTGGGGGGCCCCTTCAAAGAACTTTTGGGTGGCCCCCTGGCGGGGCCTCTGGGGGGCCCCCTTGGAACTCTCCTCATTCCTGAGTTTGGGATGGAGCCCCCTGATGCGTGTAGGCGCATTGTTGCTGCTGCTGCTGCTGCTGCTGCTGCTGCCTTTTCATCTAGTCTTTCGGTTTGACTGTTTCTCTCTTTTGCTGCCTTCTAGGCCGTTAGGGTATATCTACACGCTGCCGCTTGTGTTGAAGCCTGCTGCTGCTGCTGCTGCTGCTGTTGCTGCTGCTGCTTCTGCTTTTGTGCTGCAGCGCCCGCAGATGACTGCGACTTGCTGAGCATTGCTACCTGCAGCAGAGACCACAGCCCCGCACAGAAGTTGCAGCAGCAGCAGCAGCAGCAGCAGCCGCTGC